GATACTAGTGGGCTGGTAAATGAGGAAAATATATTGTGTAACGATTGTATTACGAAAGGCTTGATAAGTATTACGTTATACAGTTTATATATGATTTCATGATGATGATGATGTTATTATTTTCGTATATTGACTTATGAATTTCACCGAGGTAAGTGAATGGTAAATGTTTTATTATTGATAAAAGGTTTTGTTGTAAATTATGCTCCATTAGTCTTTTTGTGTTTTCTACCCACCTTTACCTCCGTGACGGTGAGATATCGTGATGTCTTTACTGGGCTAGTGTAGCTCATTCCTTATTTAATCATTTCAGATCATGAAGACCTTGTTCCCGAGCCAGTTCCGCAGGAGGACGACGAAGGGAACGCCTAAAGACTCCATAGCCATATTTGTAGCTTTTACTTTCAAGTTTCTCCTTTAGCTAGTTTGATCTTTTATATTGTGAGCACGTTTTTGGTTTTAGTGTAAGGGATGTTAATCGAATTTTTGACTTTGCTTCCGCATTTGATATTTTTAATATACATTCCATTCTAAATTTCCAGGGCTGTTACAGTGGACATTATCTCAATCGAACGGGGTTGAGAAGTTCCACACTGAAAGGGTTTGAGAGATATGTTCCACCCTCATATCGGACGGGATATCCAGGTAATGGTGTGTTTGGCACTCATTACCGGATGAGATATAGAGACAGTCGGATTAACTGAAAAATATTGAGATTGAGTTTACGAATAAGAAGATATCCCTATGGACCCATAGGGATTTCAGTAAGTAGGTTAAAAAGGAAAATTACTGATCTTGTTCACTTGTGCATGAAATTAAAATATTATATGGATATTAGTCTTTATATATTGATTTTTGAAAAATACGTAATTGTAAGTATGAAGTAAATATTTTAATGTTAAATGAATTTAATTAAATTTAGAACTCCATTAGTTGTTTTGTAATTTTTACCAACTTTTAGCTTTTCCGTATCAGTTATTAGTATGATATTCTTATTAGATTTGTAACAATCCTGGAAATTTAAAAGCAAATGCATATAATAATTTGAGTGCGAAAGCAAAATAAAATGTTAAGGTTAACATCCCTTACACGATAACGTAAAAGTACTAAACAAACATCACGGAATAAATTCTCTGAAAGAAATACGAGAAATAGAAAAAATAAAGGA